TGGACTACTTTTTGTCTTCCGTGTGTTGGACTACTTTTGGGGTTCTGCATGCTGGACTACTTTTTGTCTTCATGTATGTTGGCACTCTCCTACCAAGAGTTCCATGCGGCAAGCCAGCATAGTACCTCTGCCACAGGCCAGAAAAATGTGACGATTTGTCACATCTTGCAATGTCCATTCAATATAATGTACAGATTTCTTTTACTCTTTTATTTTTGACGAGTCTACACATCTAACTAAACATCTTTAATAGAATGGTTTAGTTTCACTGAGAAAATATCCAAAAACATGTAAAACTATTTCGATTTGCGTAGCGATCCTTTGTTTACATAGGTTGTACGGCTCCACGTGCAGTCATCGAAGCTGATGGAGAGCAAACGATGCAGCCAGTTTGATATCTAAATATGTACTGTCATAGACCTTACTGTCGCAGTTGTGGAAGAATATATATGTAACAATGTAAAACATTATGAAGACAGCGCGCTGAAAAGCTTTCGTGAGTCCAGTCTCTTCTTATTATGAATATGCGCGTTTGATTACAAACAAGAGAAAAGTCCGGTCACGTGATATGCAAATTAGCCTGTGGCAGTGATGTTATGTTAAGTCATCGCTGTGCCGGAGTGTGGTATGTTGGACTACTTTTTGTTTTCTGTGTGTTGGACTACTTTTTTTCTTCCATATGTTGGGGGACTACTTTTTGTCTTTCGTATGTTGGATTACTTTTCTGTGTCTTGGACTACTTTTTATCATCCGTATGTTGGACTACTTTTTGTGTTCTGTATGTTGGACTACTTTTCTGTGTGTTGGACTACTTTTTGCTTCCATATGTTGGACTACTTTTTGACTTCTGTATGTTGGACTACCTTTCTGTATGTTGGACTACTTTTTGTTTTCTGTATAATGGACTACTTTTTGTGTTCTGTGTGTTGGACTACTTTTCTGTGTGTTGGACTGCTTTTTGTCTTCCGAAAATGGACTACTTTTTTACTTCGGTACATTGGACTACTTTGTATTAGCAGAACATCATTTGGTGTTCCACTAAATATATCCTGTCATGTGGGGGCTGTGCAGGCAGAATGGGGATGAAAGGGCTTGATAATGGGGGTTGGTCCAGTTCTCTCATTGTGTATACTACTCAAGGTCAGGTATGACACAGGTGTTTTCATCTGATGAGGTGTAGTAAATACATGTGTCTATCAAGGTCAGGTGTGACACAGGTGTTTTCATCAGATGAGGTGCAGTAAATACATGTGTCTATCAAGGTCAGGTATGACACAGGTGATTTCATCTGATGAGGTGCAGTAAATACATGCGTCTATCAAGGTCAGGTATGACACAGGTGTCTTCATAAGAGTGAGTGAGTGAGTTATTATTTAACGTCACATCGGCAATATTTCAGCCATATCGTGACGAGAACACTTGACATTGAAATAGAATATATATACAGTAGAACACGGATATAACGAACTCCAAGGGACCAAGAAATTAAGTTCGCTATATCCGTTGTTCGTTATTCACATTTGACCGCCATCTTGGATTGTAGAGATGTAGACATTCACAGACATTACCTATATCATGTTGATAAATATGAAGTTTATTTTAATAATAAAATTGAAATAATACAACTACAACTTAAACAGATTTATTTTTTAATGAAAATGCAAGCTTACATTTATAATGTCCAGATAAACCACGAAAGAAGCAAAAACTGTAGCAATTTTATTTCCATTTGTGACATGTCATAACATGCCCGTGCCTTTTTCTTTTATATTTTCATTTTTATGTAATCAGGCTTTCCATTCGTTAACATGACACAACAACGGGAAATACCTCCGTTTTCGAAGCTTCGTATGAATAACATGTGAGGCGAATCGTGTGGTGTCTGGTATCGTTCGACAGCTCTGGAACATCAACAATATCACTGTACCCTCGCCGAGAGTATTTTCACAGTTGTAAAAAGCGATTTTATTGGATAAAGATTGGTTTCTAATGACGCTTTTTCGCCACAGTCTGCTATAAGGATCATGATTGGTCAAAATCAGACACGTGACCTAAGGCTGCCAATCATACTACGGCAATGGATACCGTCCTCGTCAACATAAACGGTTGTTGAATGGGTTAAACACGATATGTTTGTTTTGTTAATTAATTAATGACCATCAATCAATGTTGATTCACCGCCAACAAGATTGATGTATACTGTACCGCTAAGTGGCTGAGCTGACACTGAGTGAGTTCGCTAATCACGTTGTTAATTGGGTCTTGGGGGTAGTAAATCAGTTCGCTATAGCCGTTAATTCGCTACTCGCGAGTTCGTTATTCACGTATAATTTTAATGATATTTTAAGGACTGTTGATGGGACTTTTAAATTTGTTCGCTATATCCGTTTGTACGCTATATCCGTGTTCGCTATAACCATGTTCTACTGTAGATAGTATAAAAACCTGCCGACAAAGGACAGTAAAGCAACTAGAGTATCACAGATATATATGTAAAACTAGTAATTGAATCTAAAACATTTTAACTATAGGGGACAACACAATATAAAAATAGGCTATAGATCACCAACAACTGAAGGTAGATCACCATACTAGGGTCCATGGGGACTTACAGTACTTTTGCTACCTGCATGGGCCCTAGCTGGATTTATATCATCCCTTCAGCCGCTGGCGATTGAAGTCAAATTTAGCCAAACTTATAATGACAGAAATGCTACATTTAAAACAGCTGGTGAATTTAAATTCCCGTTGAAAGTTTTGGGACTTACGTAGTCTTCATAAGATGAGGTGCAGTAAATACATGTGTCTATCAAGGTCAGGTATGACACAGGTGTCTTCATCTGATGAGGTGCAGTAAATACATGTGTCTATCAAGGTCAGGTGTGACACACAGGTGTCTATTCATCAGGTGATGATGAGGTGCAGTAAATACATGTGTCTATCAAGGTGTCTATCTGATGAGGGTGTAGTACATGTGTCTATCAAGGTCAGGTGACACAGGTGTCTTCATCAGATGAGGTGCAGTAAATACATGTGTCTATCAAGGTCAGGTGTGACACAGGTGTCTTCATCTGATGAGGTGCAGTAAATACATGTGTCTATCAAGGTCAGGTGTGACACAGGTGTCTTCATAAGATGAGGTGCAGTAAATACATGTGTCTATCAAGGTCAGGTATCACACAGGTGTCTTCATCTGATGAGGTGCAGTAAATACATGTGTCTATCAAGGTCAGGTGTGACACAGGTGTCTTCATCTGATGAGGTGCAGTAAATACATGTGTCTATCAAGGTCAGGTGTGACACAGGTGTCTTCATAAGATGAGGTGCAGTAAATACATGTGTCTATCAAGGTCAGGTGTGACACAGGTGTCTTCATCTGATGAGGTGCAGTAAATACATGTGTCTATCAAGGTCAGGTGTGACACAGGTGTCTTCATAAGATGAGGTGCAGTAAATACATGTGTCTATCAAGGTCAGGTATGACACAGGTGTCTTCATCTGATGAGGTGCAGTAAATACATGTGTCTATCAAGGTCAGGTGTGACACAGGTGTCTTCATCTGATGAGGTGCAGTAAATACATGTGTCTATCAAGGTCAGGTGTGACACAGGTGTCTTCATAAGATGAGGTGCAGTAAATACATGTGTCTATCAAGGTCAGGTGTGACACAGGTGTCTTCATAAGATGAGGTGCAGTAAATACATGTGTCTATCAAGGTCAGGCATCACACAGGTGTCTTCATCTGATGAGGTGCAGTAAATACATGTGTCTATCAAGGTCAGGCATCACACAGGTGTCTTCATCTGATGAGGTGCAGTAAATACATGTGTCTATCAAGGTCAGGTATGACACAGGTGTCTTCATCTGATGAGGTGTAGTAAATACATGTGTCTATCAAGGTCAGGTGTCACACAGGTGTCTTCATCAAATGAGGTGCAGTAAATACATGTGTCTATCAAGGTCAGGCATCACACAGGTGTCTTCATCTGATGAGGTGCAGTAAATACATGTGTCTATCAAGGTCAGGCATCACACAGGTGTCTTCATCTGATGAGGTGCAGTAAATACATGTGTCTATCAAGGTCAGGCATCACACAGGTGTCTTCATCTGATGAGGTGCAGTAAATACATGTGTCTATCAAGGTCAGGCATCACACAGGTGTCTTCATCTGATGAGGTGCAGTAAATACATGTGTCTATCAAGGTCAGGCATGACACAGGTGTCTTCATCTGATGAGGTGCAGTAAATACATGTGTCTATCAAGGTCAGGCATCACACAGGTGTCTTCATCTGATGAGGTGCAGTAAATACATGTGTCTATCAAGGTCAGGTGTGACACAGGTGTTTTCATCTGATGAGGTGCAGTAAATACATACATGTGTCTATCAAGGTCAGGTGTGACACAGGTGTTTTCATCAGATGAGGTGCAGTAAATACATGTGTCTATCAAGGTCAGGCATCACACAGGTGTCTTCATCTGATGAGGTGCAGTAAATACATGTGTCTATCAAGGTCAGGTGTGACACAGGTGTCTTCATCTGATGAGGTGCAGTAAATACATGTGTCTATCAAGGTCAGGTGTGACACAGGTGTCTTCATCTGATGAGGGTGTAGTAAATACATGATGAGGTGTGACACAGGTGTCTTCATCTGATGAGGTGTAGTAAATACATGTGTCTATCAAGGTCAGGTGTGACACAGGTGTCTTCATCTGATGAGGTGCTGTAAATACATGTGTCTATCAAGGTCAGGTATGACACAGGTGTCTTCATCTGATGAGGTGCAGTAAATACATGTGTCTATCAAGGTCAGGTATGACACAGGTGTCTTCATCTGATGAGGTGTAGTAAATACATGTGTCTATCAAGGTCAGGTGTGACACAGGTGTCTTCATCTGATGAGGTGCCACTCAAGACATAACTATTTCCTGCCCTCCTTATGCTCATCATGTTCACAAGTGTTCAGCCATGTCAGGTGACCTGATCAACATTCTACTTACCAACAAACTTTTTAAAACTATATTCTTCTGCTCATCGCTGAAATCTGCAAACCATCTCTTCATGGCCTGAAACAATACAGCAATACAACCATGGTAGTCTCAATACTCGACATCCCTCATACTTTACAATCTGTTGCACAAGTGAAATGGTAAAAAACTAACTGTTCGAAAGTTTGCAGTAAAACAAATGTGTGCTTGAACGGAAGATTTAATATAGTCACCTTAGTTTATTCTGAATAAGTTACATGATTCCTTCATTTCTTGGACAATGATAAATACATAGAGGATGCAGCCTCAACCGAAGGTGTTCCTGCAAGGATTCAAACACATGCCTTGCTCTACAGTAGGTGTTCTGGCAAGGATTCTATCACATGCCCTGCCCTACAGTAGGCGTTCTAGCAAAGATTCTAGCAGTAAACAACATGCTGATGGAGTAAACAACACTACTGATAGAGTAAACAACACTGTGCCTGGAGTAAACAACACTACTGATGGAGTAAACAACACGACTGATGGAGTAAAAAACACTACTGATGGAGTAAACAACACTGTGCCTGGAGTAAACAACACTGTGCCTGGAGTAAACAACACTACTGATGGAGTAAACAACACTACTGATGGAGTAAAAAACACTACTGATGGAGTAAACAACACTACTGATGGAGTAAACAACACTGTGCCTGGAGTAAACAACACTACTGATGGAGTAAACAACACTACTGATGGAGTAAACAACACTACTGATAGAGTAAACAACACTGTGCCTGGAGTAAACAACACTGTGCCTGGAGTAAACAACACTACTGATGGAGTAAACAACACTACTGATGGAGTAAACAACACTACTGATGGAGTAAACAACACGACTGATGGAGTAAACAACACGACTGATGGAGTTAACAACACTACTGATGGAGTTAACAACATGACTGATGGAGTAAACAACACTGCTGCTGAAAAATACAGACGTATTAAACAGACTCCCAATTTCAAACTGTTTCAATTCTGTGATGACAATGAATAATTTTGTTGCATGCAAGTTGTTGCACTTACAGCTAACTTTTCTTTGAACACACAAGGTTTGACTCCTTCCCTGAAGTCCAGGCCATCAGTGCAGTCTATATCATCAGGAACATCCGACTTGGACGCAGTGCCCAGAGACAAACTCCGTTGCAGGTTGCCTATGGCCAGGTGGGACTTCTGGGATCTTGCACTCACCCGGCACGGTGGCTCCGAAGAACGTACTGGAACATCCTCCTCACTTTCACTGGAATAGTCACTACGGCGATATTTGTAGTGGCGTCGCGGTCGTGAGAAATGTCCCCAGCACTGGACACTGGTGGGCTGGTGGGCTTCATTATGCTCTGTGTCCAGGGGGCACAGCAGGAACTGGTGGGCAATGTTTTTGTACTGGTTTTGAGTGTAACTGTCATTCCCATTCACGATGTTAGGATAATACTGAGAGGCCTGGGACATGCTCTCACACAAGTCCAGGTCAGATCTTAGGGGGAAGGAACTACACTTTGGGGGGTAGGAAATTTCAGGAGGCGGATCATTCTCCCCATAGCAGAAGGAGTTGGCAGTCTGGAACAGCATCATCCTCTGTGGTGGAGGCGATCGAGGATCATCGCTGTCAGGGTTTGACTGGTGCATGAACAAATGCTTGTCCTGACTGCATGTCGCTTCATCGCTACTTGGAGAGGTGGACAAGCTCATGTCCTGGAGGCCTTCGCTCAGACTACTGCTAGTGCGACCAATCATGGCTGAAGACCATTCTCTGAGTGGAGAAGGATCAGAAAGATACCTCATGCATGAGACCTTGGGGGTGTTGTCCCCGCCCTCACCACCACCCTGCTCCGTAACATCACAGTCACTGCCGGAGTAGCAGGGGGAGGAGGGGAGGCCTGAATCCTCCAGGTGCAACACGCGGATGCTAGATGAAGGCTCAGCCACAGGTGACTTAAGTTTGTCCCCGTCAACCGATTCATCCGAACGAAGGCTTTTTATGAATGACCTTGTGTAAGAAGCATCTGGACAGGAAAGCTTGACACTGTTGCTCCTAGATAGCTGCTTTCTAGCAACAGGCTGTTTGGTTACATTTCCATTTGAACTGTCAAAGTTCACAATATGAATTCCTATACTTGATTGTTGCCCAGAAATAGGTTCCTCTATTGTAATCCTGTGCTCAAGTCGTTTAGCATTGCCTTCATTCATCAAATCACCACAAAAGATGGATGTCTTGTCCACAATTTCGACTAGTTCCTCAACACAAACATGGTTGTTGTTTCTCTCCGTGACCTCACTTCCTGTCTGGTCCTGGATAGCAGGGCCTTCTACAGGTCTCAAATCACCACCATCCAAGCACAGATTCTTGTTGTGACCCGCATTGTCCAACTCTAGCCGACGTAATCTGTTGATTGGCACATGATTGTTAATTGGTAAGTGATTGTTAATCGGCACGTGATTGTTGATTGGCACGTGATTGTTGACGTTCTGTAGGGCGACCTTGAGGAAGTCAGAGTCTCTTAGCTGTAGTAAGTGGACAGCAGTATCAAGGTCAGGGTCACAGGACACCAGGTGTCGGCACGGAGCATGGGGTGTCTCCCTCTCAGCCCTGCTGCCTTCCATCAATCCAACACTGAAATAGGTTAAAACAAGTGTGAAGCTGGTTTCAGAAATCATCAATCATAGAACTCACATTAGTTGCATCAAGTAAGCACATCCTGGGTAATAGTTAAATGAAATTAAATCGAGAAATCAAAATGTCCTGGTTTGGGACAAAATGAAAACAGTGCCATGCCTGATGTAGCAAAACCTTAATTGTGAACTGGGTTTTACACATGTAAATACTAAGCATTTAATGTGGCTTGCCACCATCAGGCACAAATAGCAACACACTTACAGCATTACAATCCTGAATATTTGAAACCCACACATGACAACACACACCAGACACATGACAACACACACCAGACACATGACAACACACACCAGACACAGAACAGCACACACCAGACACAGGACAACACACGAGACACAGAACAGCACACACCAGACACAGGACAACACACACCAGACACAGAACAGCACACTCCAAACACAGGACAGCACACACCAGAGGCAGGACACCAGACACAGGACAACACACACCAGACACAAGACAGCACACACCAGACACAGGACAACACACACCAGACACACACCAGACACAGGACAACACACACCAGACACAGGACAACACACACCAGATACAGGACAACACACACACAGGACAGCACACACCAGACACATGACCACACACCACACAAAGGACAGCACACACCAGGCACAGGACAGCACACACCAGACACAGGACAGCACATTCCAAACACAGGACAGCACACACCAGACACAGGACAACACACACCAGACACAGGACAGCACACACCAGACACAGGGCAGCACACAGCAGACACAGGACAACACACAGCAGACACAGGACAACACACACCAGACACAGGACAGCACACACCAGACACAGGACAGCACACACCAGACACAGGACAACACACACCAGACACAGGACAACACACACCGGACACAGGACAACACACACCAGACACAGAACAGCACACACCAGACACAGGACAGTACACACCAGACACAGGACAGCACACACCAGACACAGGACAGCACACACCAGACACAGGACAACACACACCAGACACTGGACAGCACACAGCAGACACAGGACAGCACACAGCAGACACAGAACAGCACACACCAGACACAGGACAACACACACCAGACACAGGACAACACACACCGGACACAGGACAGCACACAGCAGACACAGAACAGCACACACCAGACACAGGACAACACACACCAGACACAGGACAACACACACCAGACACAGGACAACACACACCAGACACAGGACAACACACACCGGACACAGGACAGCACACACCAGACACAGGACAACACACACCAGACACAGAACAGCACACACCAGACACAGGACAGCACACACCAGACACAGGACAACACACACCAGACACAGGACAGCACACACCAGACACAGGACAGCACACACCAGACACAGGACAGCACACACCAGACACAGGACAGCACACTCCAGACACATTAGCTGTAGTAGACAGGGCAAACTCAAGTAGACAGCAGAGCAATTTTTTTTAACTCTCTATAAAACAAAGATACAGACAATGTATTTCAATCAGTTACATTCCAAATGTAAAACGGTAATTTGGATTAGGCACGACTTCTTATCTCAGTTCAAGCTGTATCTTGTTGGTGGAGCAGTCATCAAATATACATAGCAAAGCCAAGTTTAACTGATGTTATTTCATTTTCTTTGATTGGGTGAACCACATGTGGGATGCATAATGATAGAACCAGATGTGAGATGCAGTATGATAGAACCAGATGTGAGATGCAGCATGATAGAATCAGATGTGAGATGCATGATAGAACCAGATGTGAGGTGCAGCATGATAGAACCAGATGTGAGATGCAGCATGATAGAACCAGATGTGAGATGCAGCATGGTAGAACCAGATGTGGAGGAGCATGATAGAACAGATGTGAGATGCAGCATGATAGAACCAGATGTGAGAATCAGCATGATAGAACCAGATGTGGGATACAGCATGATAGAACCAGATGTGGGATGCAGCATGATAGAACCACATGTGAGATGCAGCATGATAGAACCAGATGTGGGATGCAGCATGATAGAACCACATGTGGGATGCAGCATGATAGAACCAGGTGTGGGATGCAGCATGATAGAACCAGATGTGGGATGCAGTATGATAGACTGACTGACTGACTGATGCAGCATGATAGAGCCAGATGTGGGATGCAGTGTGATATAACCAGATGTGGGATGCAGTATGATAGACTGACTGACTGACTGATGCAGTATGATAGAGCCAGATGTGAGGTGCAGCATGATAGAACCAGATGTGAGATGCAGTATGATAGAACCAGATGTGAGATGCAGCATGGTAGAACCAGATGTGGAGGAGCATGATAGAACAGATGTGAGATGCAGCATGATAGAACCAGATGTGGGATGCAGCATGATAGAACCACATGTGAGATGAAGCATGATAGAACCAGATGTGGGATGCAGCATGATAGAACCACATGTGGGATGCAGCATGATAGAACCAGATGTGAGATGCAGCATGATAGAACCAGGTGTGGGATGCAGCATGATAGAACCAGATGTGGGATGCAGTATGATTGACGGACTGACTGACTGATGCAGCATGATAGAGCCAGATGTGGGATGCAGTGTGATATAACCAGATGTGGGATGCAGTATGATAGACTGACTGACTGACTGATGCAGTATGATAGAGCCAGATGTGGGATGCAGTGTGATATAACCAGATGTGGGATGCAGTATGATAGACTGACTGACTGACTAATGCAGCATGATAGAAACAGATGTGGGATGCAGCATGATAGAACCAGATGTGGGATGCAGGATGACAGAACCAGATGTGGTATTTTGGATGATAGAACCAGATGTGAGATGCAGCATGATAGAACCAGATGTGGGATGCAGCATGGTAGAACCAGATGTGGGATGCAGCATGACAGAACCAGATGTGGTATTTTGTATGATAGAACCAGATGTGAGATGCAGCATGATAGAACCAGATGTGGGATGCAGCATGATAGAACCAGATGTCGGATGCAGCATGACAGAACCAGATGTGGTATTTTGTATGATAGAACCAGATGTGGGATGCAGCATGATAGAACCAGATGTGGGATGCAGCATGATAGAACCAGATGTGGGATGCAGCATGATAGAACCAGATGTGGGATGCAACATGATAGAAACAGATGTGGGATGCAACATGATAGAACCAGATGTGGGATACAGTATGATAGAACCAGATGTGATGCAGTATGATAGAACCAGATGTGGGATGCAGTATGATAGAACCAGATGTGAGATGAAGTATGATAGAGTCAGATGTGGGATGCAACATGATAGAACCAGATGTGAGATGCAGTATGATAGAGCCAGATGTGGGATGCAGTATGATAGAGCCAGATGTGGGATGCAACATGATAGAACCAGATGTGGGATACAGTATGATAGAACCAGATGTGAGATGCAGTATGATAGAACCAGATGTGGGATGCAGTATGATAGAACCAGATGTGAGATGCAGTATGATAGAACCAGATGTGAGATGCAGTATGATAGAGCCAGATGTGGGATGCAGTGTGATAGAACCAGATGTGGGATGCAGTATGATAGAACCAGATGTAAGATGCAGTATGATAGAACCAGATGTGGGATGCAACATGATAGAACCAGATGTGGGATGCAACATGATAGAACCAGATGTGGGATACAGTATGATAGAACCAGATGTGAGATGCAGTATGATAGAACCAGATGTGGGATGCAACATGATAGAACCAGATGTGGGATGCAGTATGATAGAACCACATGGATAGAACCAGATGTGAGATGCAGTATGATAGAGCCAGATGTGGGATGCAGTATGATAGAGCCAGATGTGGGATGCAACATGATAGAACCAGATGTGGGATACAGTATGATAGAACCAGATGTGAGATGCAGTATGATAGAACCAGATGTGAGATGCAGTATGATAGAGCTAGATGTGAGGTGCAGTATGATAGAACCAGATGTGAGATGCAGTATGAAAGAACCAGATGTGGGATGCAGCATGATAGAACCACATGTGGGATGCAGCATGATAGAACCAGATGTGAGATGCAGCATGATAGAACCAGGTGTGGGATGCAGCATGATAGAACCAGATGTGGGATGCAGTATGATTGATGGACTGACTGACTGATGCAGCATGATAGAGCCAGATGTGGGATGCAGTGTGATATAACCAGATGTGGGATGCAGTATGATAGACTGACTGACTGACTGATGCAGTATGATAGAGCCAGATGTGGGATGCAGTGTGATATAACCAGATGTGGGATGCAGTATGATAGACTGACTGACTGACTAATGCAGCATGATAGAAACAGATGTGGGATGCAGCATGATAGAACCAGATGTGGGATGCAGCATGACAGAACCAGATGTGGGATACAGTATGATAGAACCAGATGTGAGATGCAGCATGATAGAACCAGATGTGGGATGCAGCATGGTAGAACCAGATGTGGGATGCAGCATGACAGAACCAGATGTGGTATTTTGTATGATAGAACCAGATGTGAGATGCAGCATGATAGAACCAGATGTGGGATGCAGCATGATAGAACCAGATGTGGGATGCAGCATGACAGAACCAGATGTGGTATTTTGTATGATAGAACCAGATGTGGGATGCAGCATGATAGAACCAGATGTGGGATGCAGCATGATAGAAGCAGATGTGGGATGCAGTATGATAGAGCCGGATGTGGGATGCAGTATGATAGAGCCAGATGTGGGATGCAGCATGATAGAACCAGATGTGAGATGCAGTATGATAGAGCCAGATGTGGGATGCAGTATGATAGAGCCAGATGTGGGATGCAACATGATAGAACCAGATGTGGGATACAGTATGATAGAACCAGATGTGAGATGCAGTATGATAGAACCAGATGTGGGATGCAGCATGATAGAACCAGATTTGAGATGCAGTATGATAGAGCCAGATGTGGGATGCAGTATGATAGAGCCAGATGTGGGATGCAGTGTGATAGAACCAGATGTGGGATGCAGTATGATAGAACCAGATGTAAGATGCAGTATGATAGAACCAGATGTGGGATGCAGCATGATAGAACCAGATGTGGGATGCAACATGATAGAACCAGATGTGGGATACAGTATGATAGAACCAGATGTGAGATGCAGTATGATAGAACCAGATGTGGGATGCAACATGATAGAACCAGATGTGGGATGCAACATGATAGAACCAGATGTGGGATACAGTATGATAGAACCAGATGTGAGATGCAGTATGATAGAACCAGATGTGAGATGCAGCATGATAGAACCATATGTGGGATACAGTATGATAGAGCCGGATGTGAGATGCAGTATGATAGAGCCAGATGTGGGATGCAGCATGATAGAACCAGATGTGAGATGCAGTATGATAGAGCCAGATGTGGGATGCAGTATGATCGAGCCAGATGTGGGATGCAACATGATAGAACCAGATGTGGGATACAGTATGATAGAACCAGATGTGAGATGCAGTATGATAGAACCAGATGTGAGATGCAGTATGATAGAGCCAGATGTGAGATGCAGTATGATAGAACCAGATGTGAGATGTAGTATGATAGAACCAGATGTGGGATGCAACATGATAGAGCCAGATGTGGGATGCAGTATGATAGAACCAGATGTGAGATGCAGTATGATAGAACCAGATGTGAGATGCAGTATGATAGAACCAGATGTGGGATGCAACATGATAGAACCAGATGTGGGATGCAACATGATAGAACCAGATGTGGGATGCAGCATGATAGAACCAGATGTGGAGATGCCATGATAGAACCAGATGTAGGAGATGATAGAACCAGATGTGGGATGCAGCATGATAGAACCAGATGTGGGATGCAGTATGATAGAGACCAGATGTGGGATGCAGTATTATATAGAAACAGATGTGGGATGCAACATGATAGAACCAGATGTGGGATACAGTATGATAGAACCAGATGTGAGATGCAGTATGATAGAACCAGATGTGGGATGCAGTATGATAGAACCAGATGTGAGATGAATATGATAGAGTCAGATGTAGGATGCCATGATGTGTGAGATGCAGCATGATAGAGCCAGATGTGGGATGCAACATGATAGAGCCAGATGTGGGATGCAGTATGATAGAACCAGATGTGGGAGTATGAACCAGATGTGAGATGCAGTATGATAGAACCAGATGTAGGATGCAGTATGATAGAACCAGATTTGAGATGCAGTATGATAGAGCCAGATGTGGGATGCAGTATGATAGAAGCCAGATGTGGGATGCAGTGTGATAGAACCAGATGTGGGATGCAGTATGATAGAACCAGATGTAAAGATGCAGTATGATAGAACCAGATGTGGGATGCAACATGATAGAACCAGATGTGGGATGCAACATGATAGAACCA